ACAAAGGTTTCTTTCACACTTTGCAGAAAAAAGGGGGAATTTGAAACTGGCCTACAGTCATATAAATTCCAAGATGCCATTTTTGAACGTTCGGCTAACTCCTACATTTTCTCCCAGGAACGTAAATTTTACCAAGTGACTTGTTTTTCCCTCCTTAAGCACTCGAGAGGCCGGACATTATCAGGACTTGGTCTGTCTCACCTCAACCTGCCAAGAAGTGACTCTCCCCAAGGCCGGGTGCTCGAATAACTTCTCAAGGGTCATTCTGGAAGATTCCAGGATTTAGTCTCTATCAAAACCCTGGTGTTTTTCTGTTTATCCACAGTCAAAAGGTGTTTTAGGTTGTTCACCATTAAAATTCAAGGTGTTCCAAGTAAATGTTTAAACTTTTAGCAGTTTCAACCCTAAACTGCTTGTGCTGTTTTTTCTTTCATGTTAAACTTCTGCCGTTGTGTTTCACCAGTTCAAAACCAAACTAAAGGTGATACAGTCAAGCTTCAGCCCTGAAGTTGTTCTTTTCTGTTTGAAGTAATACTTTTGGAGGCCTTATTTGGAATAACTTTGTTACAATATTGAGCATGAATCTCCCATGGTCGTAAGACTGGGTTATTTGAAAGAGCCACAGTGCCATCAAGTGGTTAATGAGTGAAATACATGTGGGTGTGACCAAGAAGGTTCAGACCTCATGGAGGCAGGAGAAAAAGAGAAAAGGACGCTTTAAGCACAAATCCCTGCGGGCTGTTTCCATCTGGCCTAGCAGAACCCGACGCTTTACAGTTGTCAAGTAATTAGCTCTCAAAAGTTACGGTAAAACTTAGAAGCAACTCCGTTTGTTTTGTTTTGACTTCCTACGTGAAACCGGAAGTCTGCGTGTTCGGTCGAGTTCTCACATTAAGAGTGAAACCCAATTTGGAACAGTTCCTCTGATTCAATCTCGTTTTGGATCATGCGGACTCGCGATCTGAATTCCACATTTGGTGTAACTGGAGGAACTGAAAAGTCAAGCCACGATCGAGGATTACCATATCCTCCCCTTTCCACGACCGACGTTGACCGACCAGGGCGCCAGCACCATTTAATCCAAACAGGCCACGAACCAGGAGCCCAGGCTGGTGGAGTCGCTGACCACCCTTCCGGCGACGGAAAGCAGGTCTGTGAGCATTTCTATCTGGCTGGTTTTCTGCCGTAAGCCGATTCGTGAATTCAGATTATTACATTTCTTTTATGGCGTGTTTTATGTCAATCCCAAATTCACGTTTAGCTCTCAAGATCCCCTTCCTTCTTCTGCCATAACGAGCCACACGAACACACACACACACACACACACACACACACACACACACACACACACACACACACACACACACACACACACACACACACACACACACACACACACACACACACACACACTCCTTTCAGAAATTATTCCTAATATTTACTATAATCCCATGTGTCACCAAATTTCCACTTTTATTACAGACTAGTGATGTCATAGCACTGCCATAAAGCTTTGGGTTTATTCACTTACTTACTCTCATGCATGAAACAAAAAGCTGTGTTTGGTTCTCTTTGTCAGTTGTCACAACTGATGTTTGTAATAAACTCACAAAACGTAAATAACGCCTGATCATTGTCTAGCACGTCTCAGGAATAATAATTCTGTCAAGAATTCATCCTTTAGATTAATTTGTGGTGTTAACTCTGAGACTGATTACATTGCGAAGATATACGTAGATATTAAATCCAACAGACCAGTTCCGAAAACTGGTGGTGCTCCGATGAATTAATATAAGATTATAAACAAGCTAAATCTACGTCACATTTGAAATATAGATATAAATCTATATTTATCGCTACGATACCTAAAATAAACTCACTAAAAGACAAATTAATCAGTGCAAAATTATAATCTGCTTAAAGAGCAAGTCACCCCTACCAGAGTATTACTTCACTCCCACTTCCTGTTTGAAAAATGCAACAAATGGTGTTGCCTAGCAGACCGAGAGGGCGGAGCCGCTAACAAATACACACACTCACGACATTGTGACATCATAATGTACCATCTAACATCATAGTGTACCTCTTAGCCAATAGCGATGGTAGATTTAAATTCAAATGCAGTGCTGAGTTTTTGCCTGACGACGGTGCATCGCTGACAGTTTTAGGCAGAATATTAAAATTTTAAGTAAGATGCACTAAAATGCCAAACTATTGCCTACATTTGTCTACAGCATAATCAGACACTCATCTATATAATTTATCAGCAAAAAAAATGTTAATTTGGAGTGACTTGCTCTTTAATTGTTAGGTTGCAAAATGATATTATGTTGTAAGAGGACAGCTCTGACAGCAAAGTTATCGGTTTTCAGATAAAAAAGAAGCTTTGAGATGCACCATCCTGTTTCAGGGTAGCTGCAGAGTATTTTTGTGCTGCAGAAATACTTTAATCTGTGTTTGGCATTACTGACGCAGCTAAAATTATTATGTAATAATCAGTTAGTGGTTCTAAAGTGCCCAGAGATACAGTCGAAGTTCATTTTATTTATGTGGTTATTTGTGTTTAGATACCCTTTATAACTCAGAATGTTCCAAAGGTCACATGGCAGGATGACCATGCCGATGTTTGAACAGCCACACCCCTTCTAACAATGACCTCTAAAGATGATCTTATCAGACAATCCTTCCTTGTGTGGTGTGTAAAGCCCAGTTCACATGGCAGGATTCTTGAATAGTTTACAATTGTCAAAATACGCAAAACCCAACATGTGGTGATGAAATATCACAGATAAACCAGTTTTGTTCCACAGTGTGTGGTGTGTAGCAACTTCGCAAATACACTCCATGCAAACTGATTTCACACGGGGACATTTCCCACTCAGACGTGAAATCTGTCAAGATCAAACGTCACTTTGAACAAATGTGGATGGTGGAGGAGTGTGCTGCACAAATCCATCACTTCACATTCAACAGGAAGCATTATCATTTGTCCCTGAAAATCAGGCAGAGTGAATCCAAC